GCCACCATCCGCCGGAAGACGGTCAGCGCCGAGATCAAGCTCATCAACGGCATGGACAAGCGACGCGGCCGGCCGCCGACCGCGGTACGTCGCGTTCCAGTTGCTCCCACTATGTCATGTTTGTGTGGACGGATCACTTCCAGTCGCGTGATGTCGTGCGTGCCGGTGTCCGTCCGCGACGAGGCGCTGCACGTGACGTCAGTGACGTGACGGGGGCGTCAGCGCTGACGGGGCGCCGCCGCTCTTCAGGCCGGGCCGGGCTCTCCGGGGAAGGTAGCCAGAAGCGGCGAGCGGCCCGTCAAGAAGTTCAAGGACTCCTTCGGGAGGGCGAAGGAAGTTACCCCGATCAAGCCGCCCAGGGTCCGGGTCCCGTCCGGGGTGAGTGGCGTTGTACGGTGTCTGCCGTCCGCACAACCGCACCATCGCATTGACGGCTCCGGAACGCGTCGGAGGCAGTTCTTGTGAGACTGCATTCTTCGTATAGTTCGATTCACGGCCATCAACACTACTAGGCGACTGCAGCGATGTTGAAGCGCATTGCTCGACGGCTTTCATCAAACTGCACGAATTCCAGATCGCAAGTTCAGTTTTGGGACTTGCAGGAAAGTCACGCTGTGGTGCATTGAACGAAGTGGTGCCCAGGTCTGAACGTCGGTGCCCATCCAAGCGTCCAACGCACTGGTTCACGAGCTGTCGAGATGGCGTTTCCATGCAGTGTTGTTGACACGTCTACAGGCCTACAACTCGGAGGACATCCTGCCGCAAATCAAGGCCGATCCCACTATGCCGTCGCCCGTGGTGAAAAACGACATCCCTGACAAGTTCTGGGCGGCGATGGAGCAGTACTGCGGCCCCATCACGACAAAGGACGTGGAGGTGGGTACTCGAATCCTCGTCATAGCCTACCGACCTTGCCTGGGACAGGTGTTTTGGAGTACAGGTGTTTTGGAGTAAAACGTTTGAAGGGAATGTTCCGCATTTGAAGATATGGAAGTAAGTATGATAGATGATGAAATAAGCTGAATTTAAACTATTTGTTTAATTTTCGGTAAAAAGCTCAGCTCCAGACTAAACAAATTTCTAGTTTATGAATATGTTCCTCAATATGTTATTGTTTGATTGCACCATGGAACGTTTGTATGCCGTTCAGGACCTACCAAGCTAGCCATGCGCAATTGTCAGGGTAGTTTTCACATCGAGTACTTCGTGATCACGGACGCCAGATCTAAACGGCTCGACGAAAATGTTGTTCATGGGCTTGAACGCCGCATGTCCGATTGGGTGGCAGGATTTCAATGACGTTGATATGGTGGCATGCATATCTGAATGACCTTGAAATGACCTTCAGGGGCAGAGGCTTCAAAAGTGGCCTTAGCGGGCGGTCGTGAAGTCCATGAATTGGAGGGTTTCAGGTCTTGAAGAGGACAGAGCTGTGAACTGCACGGAATGGTCCTAAAAATGTCTGTTTCATTTCAAACCCCATACAGATGTGGAGTTTTCCTTTTGGTCACAACGGAATTCATGCAGGAACGTCTCTTATTCCATGGTCATCCCGTAGCTGATGGCTCCCCTCGTTCCACTCCGGCCCTCCGGCATGCAGCTGACGGTGTCTGACGCCGTGTACTGCGGCCGACCATGCGCGGCGGCCGCCGTGTGACGCCGTTTGTCGCGCGCAGATGCTGGAGCGGCTGAGTGCCGACCGGGAGGACATGGACGAGTGCCTGACGGTGCCCCCACTCGGCAAGCACTACACGCTCAAGTGGGCCGAGGAGGACGGACAGGACGACGGTGACTCCGACTCCGAGGACGAGAACAAGACGCAGACCAAGGCCAAGGCCAAAATAAAAAGGTGCCGTTGGCTGGACGACTCCTCAGGTCTCGACCGGCGCGGGAGGGGGGAGCTGGGTCTGCTGGCGTCCGTTCCGTTGCCGCGCTTGGCTGCAATACCGCGCAGCTGTCTACCGGCAGCTGTACTCTGGGAGGATGTGGGCACTTGGCGTGTGGCTCGCGGCTTTGAACGCCGTGTGCGCCCCCCCCCCCCCCCCCCCCGCCAGTGGGGACGAGTCGGCGGGTCTGAAACCCTGATCTCGTGGGTCTAATCTCCCCGTGTGCACCTCCAGTGAGAATGAGTCGGCGGCCGTGGACGCCCTGACCTCTCGCGGGTCTAACCTCCCCGTCTTCCCCAGTGAGGACGAGTCGGCGGGCCTGGGTACCCTGACGCAGCGCCTCGTGTCTGGTCTGGTGGAGGAGAACGTGCTCTCCGCGGTTGATGAGAACGTGGATGGCGCGAACAAAGGTGAGACTCAGTGGCGTCCGTCTCGTCTGGTGACCTAATCGCCTGTCCGGTTTGTGGAGGGACGTACCTTGTGGATGGGGTGGCGCAGGGCTGCTGGGGGCGACGAGTTAGCTGCTGCTCACATACCTACTTGGGCGTCTTGATGTTCAGCAAGTTGGAAGGGCTGATAGAAATATTCTGTAGTTTACACGATGACGCGACTCGCTTCGGTGTCCTGGTGGGATCATACTGTGTCTTGTCCTGCTTTCGATAAGGGGTTGCCACTCATTAAGGCACTGAATGTGTGCCGATTTTTTTCGCCTGCCATCTGAAACCAGCAGTTGTTGTGTAGGGATACACGTAGTGTCTGTCGGTCCTGTCACGTTGTCCAGGACTTCTGTAACCGCCGTGACTACTGTCTCGACTCAATGTTCACGTAACGACTCATTGTTCAGGTTGTGCTGTGCGACTGTGCCTGTGTTGAGGCACTCCCACTATGCCTGCGGTTCGAGCGCTGGCCTCTCGCTCCGAACTAACACGGTGTCATGGCTGCTCTCGCGTGGGTGGGCCGGCCGGCGTAGGGCGCTGCGGCCGGCGAGCGCGGCGCGCCCGACTGACGACCGCGCGCTGCCGCAGAGACGGAGCCGGTGGTGGCGCGGCCCGGGCTGGCCGCCTCCCTCCAGCTGAGCGCCGCCGGCCAGCTGGAGCGACGCCTCCGGCGCGAGCTGCAGAACCAGGGCCTGGTGGACGACACGGACGGGCCGAGCGCGGTAGCCGACGACGAGGTGCTGGCTGAGCTGGAGCGGTGCCAGGCGCGGCTGCGCACACTAGCTGCCCATAACGCCGCCCAGGTGGAGCGGCTGCTGCGGCTGAGCCGCGCCGAGCTGCGCCGGCAGGAGCTCAAGGAGAAGCTGGCCACCACCGACGCCCAGGTGCGTCGTCCGGCCGCCGTCGAGGGTCCGACGCCGGCCACGGAAATCGAGTGCCCTGGGAGACTATATATTAGCTGTTATGGGATGGACGCAATGCGGCTTTTTCGCCATAAAAAATTTTGCTCTCGCAAAATTATGTGTAGGCTTTAAGTCATGTTTAAGACCAGCAGTCACTTCCCGTATTGTATGGAAAACAGATACCAAGCTGACGGGCAATCAGGTCGGATCGAAAAACCGTCTTGAGATGTCAGTTTCTGGTCATGCTCTAAAGCCAGCAGTACGGATCCGAACACGGCTTCACTAGACCTGAAAGGTAATGAACTAACTTATTTTCATATACCCAGAAAAGCCCAACAAACCTAGGATTAGAAATGCGGGTTTTAGGGTTATAGATTAGGATTAGATCAGATAGGGCTATAAAGCAAGGTGCTTAAATTTGCCGACGATTTTTAATTGATAGGGGTGTCTTAAAGCTTTCCACAGCGAAATAGCATGCTATGTCGGAAATGAAGTGTGAGAAGGTAGGTTGCAAGTGTCATCCTCGAAAGCTGTGGGCGACGGTCGGGCGCGTTAATGTTGATGTGTCTGCGCTTCTTCGAGCTTGAGATTGTGCTGAAACAAATTTCTATGAATCCATCGAAGTTAGAAACTTAAAACAGGCCCTGTGTTATGCCTCCCTACTGGCTTCTCGTATGGGGGAGACGGGTTCAGCTTGTGGCTTTGTGCACAGTTAGGCTGGCTGCAGGTGAAATGTGTCGCTGCAATAGATTTGCGTGCATGGATTTAGGTTGTGGATGTAATTGACTTCCCTCAACACATTGTTTGTGCTGAACAACGTTTGTGCATCCGAACCAGAAAATGATACAGTGATATCCGTGGGCCTGTGTGAGTTCAGTTAAAGCAGTATGTCAAATAACTCTTGCTGAATTGGTTGAGGCCCGAAAGCCTTGGTTACATGGTTTTTAAGACATTGCAATTGTTGGCATGCTATAGATCATTTTTTGGTTGACAATGTTTACAATGTTAGGCGTCCTCCGAATTGAACGGCTGTTGTAACTCGTGCCTGTCCCCCACCAGGTCCAGGAGGCGTACCAGGTGGTGTCCGCCGCCCGGCAGCGTAAGAAGTCGCCGTCCAAGAAGGAGCGCGAGCTCGCGTGGAAGGCGCTGAAGGAACGGGACGCCATCATCAAGATGCTGGACGCGCTATGATGAGGGTAGCTAGGTGCCCGTCTCCCACGAGGTGCTTACGCCCGAGAGCCTGTTGGGAGCCGACACATGACACGACGGCGGCATGGCGCGGCCCGAAGAGGGTAGGGCCGCTCCACCTCCGAGTAATGTCTCCCGCGCAGCATCGTGCCGTCAGCGGAGGCTCCGTGTCGTGGCGCCTCTGCCCGCTGTCTGGCGCGGCGACCCACTAGCGCCATTATCACACCTCATCTCATGCGCCTGTCGGTAGCGCGCGCCATCTCCGCCCGCTGTCCGGCCGTTTTGCGCGTCTGTAGCGGCATACCGGGGCGCCACGTGGGAGGCGCCGGACCCGCTGGCCGGGCCACGCGCGCCGGATCGGGCCCAGGTGGCATCTGGCCAGACTTTGGCCGGCCGCGGCGCGCGTGCTGAGCGCCGGCCGGTCGGCGCCGCCATCCCGTCGAGGGTGAGGAGAGCGTTCAGCTTCCGCGGTCGCCACGGCGGCCACCCAGCGCCGGGCGCCGACCTTGGCGACAGTTCGAACGCCGCCGCACTGTCCGAGCTGTTGGGCTTCTTCCAGTGAGAGAGACTTATTTTCACTAGCGGACGTCTGAAGTACTCTTTATTGCGTTTTTTACACGGCTCACATTAGTTCGCCCTGTTTGTGTCGTGAAAGCACGATCCAATAGATACGTCTGATAAAAGCACAAATGCTTTCTGTCATCGTGAAATCTTACGTCAACATGATATGGCCGCTCGTTACAAACTGCGGTCGACAACATACATCGCACAATATTGCACATGGCGGTTGATCAGCGATCTGCGACCATGACGATGTAAGCGGACGATCCGTTTAAAAAGATCACATCGTGGCCAGTGGTCCGAGCTTGGCCCGCGCGGACGCTCAGGGCGCCAGCCGCAAGTACGCGCGCCGACGCGATTGCATGAGGCGCACTGCGAGCGGCCGCCGCTCAGGATCAACTCGGGCCGATCAGCCGTCTCCGCAGGTCTGGCACCCCTGTCCCCGCGGTCATCGCTATCTGCCGCCTGCGATACAACGCCCCATGGGACCGGACGGTCACGCAACAGTCCGGACCAACTGCGTCCGAAGTGCAACGTCCACCGGCAGAACATCGGCGCTTCTAAGCTGCATTTGGTCAAGACACTTGTGCTGACATCATATGCCGGGGTCGGAGCGCGTGACACGCGGTTGCGGTGGGACTACGGAGAGTCCAGCATCGTAACGCAGGACCGGACGGGTAGGTCCCCGAGCCCGGCGGCTGCCGTGAGCCTTCGTAACAAAGTCGTGACAGACACACCGCTGCCGCTGATCGCTAATTTGCCACTGATCGGTACGGAAGAGAGTCAGAAGCCCGAGGCATGATGAAGTCTGTTGAAGACCAGGATCCAATCCGGCACCCAACCACGTCTATCCGCCACTTCTGAAAATGATTGAAATGATGCGGTTGAAATTAAAGAATCCATAAAAACAGCTCGCTATCAATCTGCCAAAAAACGCATAACGAACAGGATAAACGATACAGGTAGGCACAGTTACCACAAGTCGCCTCAAAGCAAGACGCAGTCCCGTGGCCGTTTGGGTTGTCTCGTGCACGCCGTGCGACACCGTGTCCCTGCACCTGCACCCCGAGGCGGCACGCTGTGCTGTCTGTACCTACCTGGCGGCATCGGGCTTCGTCAGTGGCGTGGCCATGAGGGCACGGGCGGCAGCCTTCTCTTCCAGCAGCCGCTGCCGGAACTGCTCGAACTCTGCCCGGGGGTCCCGGTCCGGCAGCGGGGCGCACTGCGGGGGCATACGGGGCACGCCGGTCAGCGCGTCGGCAGTGGGGACACACGGGGCGCGCCGGTCAGCGGCTCGGCAACGGGAATGGGGGGGGGGGGGGGGACACGGGGCGCGCCGGTTAGCAAGTCGGCAGCGGCGCGGACACACGCACCAATCGCCGCAGTCGGCACACGTCGGCGGTAACACGAACATGCCGTGATCAGATTAAGTTCCGGCCGTCACGCACGGGGGCGGAATGGATGCTGTATGACCGCGCAGTCGAAGCACCCGGAAGCCCCAATTACTACCACAGAGAGCGGGACACTAAAGCTTGTCTTTCAGGTTCGAACACGTTACTAGCGAATCCGCGAGAAAGGACCAGCCGGGGAAGCTGTGCCCTTTCCTCATGTGGCACAAACATGTGGCCGGCGCTCGGGTAACAGACGCGTTGCTGAGAGGCCCGCCGATCGGCGGTCAGCAGGTGGGAGCGCGGCGCGGCGGTTCGCCCTGACCCCGCCCGACCCTGACCTGGCAGAGGTCGCGGGTCCGCTGCAGGTCCGGCACCTGACGGTCGATGCTCTCCCGGGCGCCGCCCTCATCGGCCGGGTGCGTGTACAGCCACTGCCCGGCGACCGCGCCGTCCTCCATCTCGTGGCGCAGCGCCATCTTGGCCCAGAACGCGCTCGCCTCGCGCACGTCGAAGCACCCTGCCGGCACGGTCGGCCCCGGTCACGCGGTGCCCGGTGATGGGAGGGGGCGTCTTGTGAGCACGTGAGGACTCCAAATAAGCTCACATTTGACCTTGATAAACGCCTTCGTCGAGTCCCAACGGTTCTCAACAAACTACCCGTACACAAGCTCCCCTCGCCTCTGTCAGTCCCCAACAGCCGCACACACCATCTCCCGGCGGCGGCGCCCCGCCCCGCTGCGGGCACTCGCAGAGGAGGACGCTCACCTTGGCCGCCAGCCGGAGTCCCACCTCATCCGCCTCCGTCTCCAACTCGCGGCTGTGCGGCATGTCCGCCAGCAGGCCCACCGTCGTACGGAAGAACCAGTGGGCGAAGGCGCTGATACCGTCGTTGGGCAGGAAGGCCCAAATGGCGGCCAGCGGCAGGATGAGCATCAGGTCGATCAGGTGCGCCCTGCTGAACCGCTCGCCCTGCGCGCGCAGCACCCGGCTGAGCATCGACGGCCTGAGCAGGAGCCCGACGCCCGGGGCCGACCAGACACACTGGCACGCCTGCTGACTTCACCTTGCACGAGCACACGCCCGCCCACAGGAAACGACGCATGTCATAGGGACCTAACGGGCGGGCGAAGCTCCGCGCCCAACTTGAGACAGTATCAACGGTAACGAAACTGCTGCGACCTGCGCAATATTGCAAAAATGACCTCGGTCGTCGGTGCGCGAACCCCAGTCATCATCATCAAGCCTGC